GAAATCGGAGACATGCATCATCATGGCACCATGATGGCTCAAACTCGAACAAGCCACACTAGGGTCTAAGAAGACCTTGAACAGCTCATTGGGAGCATGTGGAGGACATAACCATAATTGGCAGCTCAGACGAGGATGGCTCCGATATTGAGATGATGGAGGCGCCAAAAAGCTCACCTCCGCGACCACCAAGGCCTGGTTCCGGGCGCATAATGATGCAGTGATGTGGATGATATATCATTTTGTGGGAACCGGTTAGGGTGATAAATCTATTTTACAAGACCTTCAAGTATATTCAAAAGCGCAAGTTTTGGGACACTGAATCATTTCATATCAAAGCCGACTCATCCGCTAGGCAGCTGCAAATATCCGTATCGGATCCAGGGCCTGCTCCTTGCATGGGAAGGCGCCTTGCAAGCCAGTTCAAGTTTGTGTGACTTGGTCATCGACAAAATTGAAGAAGACGGCGCCAACCAGATTCAGTGCCTTCCCCACCACTTCATGGAGTTTTATTCACCTCCACGGGTGGCACTGCCGCTACGAAGAACTGGCTTCTTCGCGCGGTACAGTTTTGATTTGATGACTGGCTAGATTTCTTGAAGTTTGAAGATCGCGCCAGAGCACTGAGATTGTATGAGACGCATGCACCTTTTTTCGTCATGCTATCTCCGCCATGCACTATGTTCAGCAAAATGCAAAACCTAAAGTTGAAAAAATGCAGCCGCAGATTCGCAAACAGAGGTTTGCAGATGCCAACTGCATGCTGGATTTTGCTATGCATATTGCCGATCGGCGGCTGAGAGGCAACCGTTTCTTCTGTCATGAACATCCATCGGGCGCATCCAGTTGGCGCAGAGCATCAGTAGCCCAACTTGCAACCCAACCCAATGTGTTCCTGGTTTCTTTTGACCAGTGTCGAACTGGTCTGAGGACTCCTTCCGGCTTGAAACCTATCCAAAAAAGGACGGTTCTGATGACCAACAGCCGGGAGATCCACAACATCTTTTCTCCCCTCCTGTGCAATTGCACCGAGGAGCACGCAGTGATCCAAGGCTCCGAATCGGGTCTTCAACTCTCTTCATGGTGCCAAGTGTATTCCCGGGAATTGGTGGACCACCTGGCAAACGCTGTGCGGTCGGAGTGGGCCCAGCAGTCTGGGACTGCCGCTCTGACTCCAGGATAAGCTCATCAAGCTGAGGATGGTTGCAAGCGGCCATTTGAATCAAGCCCACTTGCGCGTAGTGATGGGTGGCGGCTGAGTAGTATGATTGGGAACATATTGAATATGGACTCACTGGCGGAAAAACAGACCATAGCATCGACCGCGCCAGCGCCAGACTATCAAACGAGTCACCATCAGACCCTCAGAAACCATGATTGAATCCATTTCGCGACGATCTAGGGGGGTCACTTTTCGACCCCCCCAGTTAGTGCCGTTTCGTTTGAAACGCGACGATTTCTTGATCTAGGTTATACAAACTTGACGATCTAAGGTTTCATTTTTCGACCCCCCAGTTAGTCACGATCCAGGGTTTGGGCTGGGAGTTAGTGCCGTTTCGTTTGAAACGCGACGATCTCGGGGGGTCACTTTTCGACCCCCCCAGTTAGTCGCAAAATGGGTTTTTAACATTGAGTTAGAATTCTGGCGGCTTTCCCAAAGCTTGGGCTCGGTAAGGAGACCGGGTAGGGTTGCCAGACGCCATGGATGTGAAGGAAGAGATGAAAGAGGACCCAGAGAATAACAAGAAATCAGAGCCCGAGGCTTCAGAGGACGTGGCCATGAAACCATCTACTATCCTCCGGACATCAGGCCCCTCACTCACACCAGCGGCATCAATGGCAATCACTGAAGCTAACTTCAAGGAAGTCGCTTGGACAGCCATGAACTTCCACCTCGAGGCTTGTGGAGGTCCAGTGCAATATCTGAAGCGCGAACTGGGCAGCCCAGGAAACTCCAAATGGAAAGATTTCGCTGAGCAGCTTCAGGTGGCCTTTCCCAGGCGGACCGATTTGTCCACCTGGAGAGCCTTGAGTTGCGTCGGGGCCACGACCCGAGTGAGACGTTTCGGGTGTCTTTGTGGCAAATGGGCTTTGTGGAGTGCTGCAGCTCCAAGCCTATGACTTTTAGAGTCACGGCAGCGGCCCTGGCAGACGAGTATTTAACGAACACTTGTCTGACTGCACAGGAGCCTTTGCTTCTGTATCAGCAGCCCCTTGACCTGCCCTCGGAGTTCAAATACTCTGAGGAGCTTGAGGCGGGGGCGTTGTTTTGGACCCACTACCTGCAAGGGGCTGCTCGTGCTACCAGCATGCTGACGCTGGCGCACGTTGTTTTGAATGAGTTGAAAGTCGATGTGCAGCTTTTGAATCCAAGCTTGCGCCAATCCTTGCTAGCAGTGTATTGCCGACTTGGCACTGCCGCAAGTGATTCAGCAACCATCGCCATGGAGAACGCACGGTTGTCCGCTCGCGGAGCAATCCGTAAGGCCCATGACGTCATCACATGGGCGGGCAAGCTGCATACCCTTAAATTGCAAGGGCTGCAGCCAGCTGAAATCATCAAAAAATACAATGAAAGTGCCACGAAGGACTCGGCCATCCAGGGGGCCAAAAGGACGGGCCTGGTGGCACTCTTAGATTTACCCGAGCAGTGCCTATCCTACGTTGCTACAGCACGTATCCGAATTTGGATTTGATGGCTGCGCATTCAATGAGACCGCTTTTAGCAACAAGAAGCCCATGCCTGGCTTTCAGCCACGTGCAAACAGCGACCGAGCATGGCAGAAAAGGCTAGCGGTAACATCCGAAGGCTACGAATTGCTGGTCCGCTACGTGCATTGTTCAGTGCAATTCGCTCCAAATTGGACACGGCTGCAATGACCGAGGCAACGCAAATGAGTCAGCTCTTGATTTCATGTTTGCAGGAAATCCAAGACAAGCACGCTTTGCCCGGGGGAGCGAAAGACAAAATCCTACAAGACTTCGTGGATGGAGACAACAACCTGGAGCTGGAATTACAAGGCGCCATCTCAGAATTGAAAAAGGGATGGCAGCCTGCTGAGCTGACACCTTTCAGAGAGCTTATCGCTACTTGCATAGCCAACCGCGATGGCAAATTGGAAGCGCTGGGCAAAGGCCCCAAGATTTCCGCTGGGCAGCTTGAAAAACAGGCTTTTGAAGCGCTACTATCATCTTTGCAGCATGGCGTAGACACTTATGCAGTCTGGAAGGCCAAGTGCCTGGATCGTGACTCGGTGGTTCACTTTCAACGCCGAAGTCACACATCAGCCAGGCACACTCGAGCCCGAGATTGCTGACTCAGTGATCTCAGAGGATCGTGGGCTCGGGTGGCAAATCTCCCTGAAGAAGTTCGAAAGTGTGGACGCCGCTAACATCGCAATGATCTGGATCCAGCACATGAGTCCAGACACCTACCTTCTTAAGTGGCCACCTCAGAATACCATGAGGCGCCAGTCAGGGCTACCTCGGATTGGAGGCGCCACATGACAGCCAGTCCGAGACCCACGGCAGGTGGAGGAAAAAAGTTGCTTAGCGCGGGGGCGGGTCAGGGACCTGGAGGTTAAGTTTTTGTGTTCTCACAAAATTTAAATAGAAAAAACATCGAAAAACATCGATTTCAAGAAAAATGGCGAAATGAAAATAATACACCTTCCAAGGCCGCGCAAATCCGCATGGCACTGCGACATCACGGACGTAAT